GGCTACAGTGATACATTGACTGCATGTAAAACAGTCAGTGTTAGAACCACCTGTTTAATCATTCCTTTACAGTAGCTCTGCTTTGAAAACGGACAACAAATGCCTCGTTGACACTGTCAACAAGGAGTCCAGGAGACCACTGTATATTAGTGGTGCGCTGGGTTCATTCCTCTGTGTTCATGCAAAACTCTCCTGCCACCACGATACATTTCTGATTCTGCTGCTGAACACCATCCCCCTCATCGTTACTTTGTGAACTGATACAAATTCCCCTGCCACCGATGCCTGAGTCCATTAGCAATCAAAACGCTACTGCAGGTTTATACTATTAAATGCACTTCTCCCTCAAAGGCTTGGACAAACTTTAGGGGCCTAACTGCAAAACTGGGATTTACATTAAATAAGAAGCCTACTCAGCAGCCACTAACTCTTTATTTAGGGTCTGATCTGTTGTGCCTCGAAGTCCCTGAGGTGCCAATAATTCCTCTTCTGTGGATACCCAAAACTGCCCTTGCTTACTCTGGTGGGAATCACAAAGTAAAGGGAACATAATCTAAGACTCTAGGTTCGCACAACTTCCTTGCAGGGCAGTGCTCTATAAACACTTCCCAGGTCATGGGAATGTCATGGCAGTACTGTATCTTCTTATCAGAGTAAGCCCGTGGTGTGCACCCATCACACAGCCTAATTTCCCCACAGGGAGGACCTGGCAAGAGCTCTGCATGGGAGACAGTACATGCCAAAGAGGCACTGATATGAAGCTCAAGGCGTCCTCTTTAGCACATTTCAAAAATATGTTTATGTACAGTCCAAGGGGCCAGATTAGCTGTATGTGCTCTGAACAGATTTAACACATGACAAGAGGACAAGGATCCTTTCTAAATGGTCATGACTTCTTAATATGTAGTGATGTATTTGCCAGTGCTGCCTTATTGTATGTTATAACTGAATGGTTACTTCAGCCAAGGCGCTTGGAGGTGCCTCAACACATCTCCCAGCTTCAAAAGGTTGAAACATCTCCCATCTGCCAAGGGAATATCTTATTTCTTCTCTGCTTCTCTAGGCAAAGAACAGTCATCCTTCACTCCCAAATCAGTTTAAAAAAAAAATAATAGCCAAACTAAAACCACATACAAAAATATATGGAATCACTATTTATTCACTGATGTCCCTAATTCTATCCCGGAACCCAGAAACATTGCAAACACAGGATTTCTCAAACTCCTAAGAATCCAGAGCACTAAACATTTCTCTTTTGCTCCTGAAGCGGCCTCAGGTTGTATATCTTCCAGCTTGGCCCTCCAATAATAATAATTATGGTAATTAGCCCCTATCTCCTTTGGGCTAGTTGCTAACATGGTTCAGTTGATTTCTCCAGAAGGAATAAACAAACAAATTTAAACAAGAGAAAGGCCACCCAAGCCTCAGAGGACAGTAACAAAAGGGCAAACTGAAAGACAGCTCAGTCTAATCGTCTGCTCCCCAGTGTTACCAGAGGCAACATTTTTCTCTGCAAGCAACCAACAATCCTGCATAAAGTGGATTGGAAGGAGAGATTGCAAGGGGAGACCATTTTGAGTTCAGAAGACTTTTCAGATGAACCTTCCAGCACTGTTTATGCACCTTATAGCAAACAGTCATTGGAAAGAAAAAAAATCAGTCCTTAGAACAAGTTGTAGTCAGACATGTGCCCAGGCTTCTCGTTGACCTTAGGACACTCCTGGTGCCACGAGCTGCCTATCCCAGCCCCACGCGGAGCCACTCACTTAAAAGTGCTTCAGGAAGCTCATAACTGCTGCATTTGGGGCACGGTGATACATGAAGAATGAGCTTAGCGGATGCTTGCTGTACAGTGAAGCTCCTCAGAAGGAGAGAAATAATGTAATAGTTCCCCCTAAAGAAGAGGTCTCACTCCCTCTTGTCCTTTTCTCCTCCTTCCACCAAACACTCCAGTCAGCCTGATTGGCTCAGGTCAGAGAGCCAACCCAGCAAGGAGAAGAAAGCAGATGGTTTCTGCAGGGTGAGTGAGCTGAACTGGCTCACAGAGAGCCACAGGCCATGCGGGACCTCACAGCAGGGAAAAAGAGGATGAGACTTTTAGCAGCACTGAACTGTTCAAGCAGCTCACCAGGTGCATGAAACCACAGCTTCAAAGCACAGAAGCTCCAGTCCCCATAATGTCCAGCCTCTGTCCTTTGGTTTTAAGTGACCAGTGCCCTTACACGCAAAACGTGAGGCCACCAAAAGCTGGGCCGTAGCGAGGAGCAGGCAATAAGCCTGCCAGGTGAACACAAGGCCCCTTCCATGGGCAGAAATACAAATCCAGTCCAAAATTCATTTATAGTTTGCCAGCTGAAACCATTTGGTAAATGCATCCTGATATTTTATGGCAAAAATTAAACAGCCTCGCTGTACTCCAGAGCTCCCATTTCCAGGCCCATGGCCAGTTAATACTTCATCTCTTACCACAGCGTGACCAGCAGTGGAACAAGTGCTAAACGAGTCCTGCTGGTTCTGGTCTGTCAAAAATCCCAAGCTGGAGCCTGGGGGACCACGTGAGCTGCTGCCTGCCCACCACGCCTTCACATGGTTTGATTTCCTCAGATCCTGTGGAGGATCTGTTCAAGAAAGTTCAGTCTGCAGGTGCAAGTTTTGCAGTTTATATCTGGCCTGCATTTTTGATGTCAGGAAAAACATCGCAAGAAAATAACTCATCATTAAAGAGAAGGGCTCCAGAGACTTTTTTGTATTCCAGTGAAAAGGCTTTTCTTTTAGCAGGCATTTGTCTGTGGTGTTTGCAACCTAAATATCTCAAGCAGAATCTGAAAATGACATTGATTAGAAACTGATTCTTGAAACAAATCATGTCCCTTTCTTGGCAGAGCAGTAATGAATTCTCATCACTGAGTTTTTCCAATCTTGTAATACGTTAATTAGTTGGAACATGCTCACATCTCAAAAACCATGTCAAATCACAACTTTTAATTACACATAATTCCTACCAATGTTTTGCTCCAGAAATTAATTTCAATTACATTCAAGTTTAAAGAAAACATTTTAACCCTTATAATTTTTGTATAAACCTATAGGAAGAAAAAAAGTGTTGTTCAAGTATAAATACAGTAGTTTAAAATAAATAATAACTTTTTTCACCAATCTTTACTTTTGATTTCTTGCTTTAAAGAGAAAATCCTATACCTGGTAACCCTTATTACCTCCTCCAGCTCTCCTGAGTCATGGAAACATATTTCGGAAAGATGCCCAAGGCCAATAATTTAAAAAAGAAACAAAACCAAATCCTTTCACCCATTTGTTTCTCAGGTCACAGAATGAAAACCTGTAGGCCTCCTGTTTCCATCTTTAGCACACACTCTCACTCGAGACTTAGAAAGCGGCTCAAATTTGACTTGCAAAAGAAAGATAGAGGCATGCCCTTATTCCCTGGAGAAGGCATACGAAAAGAATGTGCTTTTTTTTATTTTAAGCTTTAGAAACTTGAACTCAAGCTGTAAGAGGGGAAAGGAAGGCCACAGCCAAGCAGCTGGTACAAGTAAGGTGCAGACACAGAGTCTTGTCCTGTGCCAGCTGGAAAATATCCATGATGGAAAACAGCTTCACAAGCCCCCCCCATGCCCTGGCTCCTGTGACATTGCTGCATAGGAAAAACTGCAGCTCTGAGTGTGCTTTGTAGGTTTTGAAATGAAACTGTCTTATGAATCTTCAGCTGTATCAATTTTAAAATGAAATAAACAATTATTTGGGGGAAAAAAAAGAGACCTCATTTCTTCATATTCCACTGAAAGAAAATTCAAATAGCCTGTGGCCCCTTACTGCAGATTAATTCAAACCTAGAACAAGTATCTTGTCCAAGACATGAACACTTTTCAAGAGCACTTTCACTTGTTTCTGCCCATCACTGCTGGCCCTTGAAATCAATGTAGAGACACTACCATTTAATGAAGGAAAAGTTGAAATGTTACTATGACTCTTTGTGATCCTGTTTTTTACAGCCTTTCCTCATGCAGGATTACCAGTGGTTTAGGAAGGAGGCAGGAGTTGCCCTACTTTTTTGGGGGGGGAATATTTTTCCAAGGCACATCAAGGGAGGGAGTCTGGCTATCCCATTCCTTCTGGAGAACTTTGCACTTTCTTCACTAAAACCTTGTTTTCCTGAAAACAGAGGCTAAACCTATAACCTGTACTAACAGGTAGTATAAACCTATATAACCTATATAAACCTATACTAACAGATAGTATAGCCCAGCCCAGTCCAGCCCAGTGCACAGGACTCTGCTGGGAGGTTGTAAAATGTCAAGCGTGGCTCTCTAGCTCTGCCTTGGCTGGGCACCTCAAATGTGTGCTTGTGCACATGTGCCTATGTTTATGGCAATGGTCTCTTCCTTCCCCCTCCCCACACAAGTGTTTATTTCCTTGGAAGATAAGAGAATTAACCTGATGGCAGAAGATAACCAGGATTTTCCCTCTACACATAATATAAAATACTTTGTGTGTACATATTTGTGTATACTGTATATACGCACACAGTTTTGACTTCTGAACAGGAAGGATCAGATTTTTAAAGGTATTGTACATATAGCAGAATACTTTGAAGTCAGTTATGAAAATTCTCTTCATTTCCCACCTTCATCTTTAAGCATCTACACAGATCTGAGGGGTTTCAAAGGGTAATTTTTATAATCCTCTTCTGTGCTTATTTGCATTTCAAGGCAATTAAGATTCTAAAAATATCCCAAGAGGCATTGATACTAGGAGAATGTTCCATTTCATTAATGGTTATTTAGTTTTTCTTAAGGCTTCCTTTATCTTCAGAACACATTTGGGACAACCATGGGATAAATTAAGTAGGATTAAACAATACTATGACTCATCAACATACAGGAGTTCCACATATACTTGATTAAGTCCAACGAAAAGGTGCTGCTGATCCTTGTTCCACTGGCATTCCTCCTGTTAATTGGCATGTAAGGTGCTTTCTTTTTTCAGCTTTGGCTTTTCACCGAGTCGTCTTCATTATTCAAAGTGCCATAGCACGAACTGTGAGAATCTGGTTGTATTTTGCCTGTCAATTTTTGTCCTAAGGAAACAGGGTGAGAGAAGGGAAAAACAACAACTCTGTGAAGAATTTTAATAAAACAAATCCCCCACCAATCCATCATTTAAACATTCTTTGCTCTAGTAATCATTGTTTTCATTTGACTGGTTGTAACAATAGCTTGGAAAAACTCTGAAAAATTCTTTGAAAAATCTGTTGGGAACAGGAACAGAAATTAAGGGAACAGTATATTTATTAAATATGACTAGAGCACATTTGTGACTCAACTCTCCTAGGTCATCCCATTATCTGATATCTCATTTTTAAACAGAGACAGAAAAAAAGCCCTACTTACCAGGAATATGTCCACAGTCAATAAAAGGAATTTGTAAATGCTCCTCTTTTTTATTTCTTGCAATTACAAATACACCAAGGAAAGATAGGAGACACCTGCAAAATAACAGTGGCATAGTATCATTAGAAACAGTTCACTGCATCTGAGATGAGAATTTCTTTCCATGTTTCTTTTTCAAGGACTTCCAAACCCAAGCTGCTCAGTTTATAAAGAAACTTTTCCTCCTGGCAGCTCTATAAATTCATCTTGGGCTCCCTTTCAGTCTAGTTTTTGCCTCCTGAAGCTTTATTATCAGTTCCAAAGGCTCCACATGCAAAACTACACTTTCAGCAGTATATACCTAATCAAATGCCTGTGAGTGTGAGACCACAACATTTGATTCCCTAAGCAAATCTTCACAGAGCATCTAAGCAAGCATTCTAGCATTTGTAATTTCATTAACAACTCAGTCTAGCTGCAGACAATCAACATCTCTGTTGTTTTTCTCGTTTGACTGTGTGTCTCAGGGGCAAGCGGTAAGCCAGGAGCAATGAGAAACTGCTATGTTTGGATAAATCTTCTATCCGCTCTGTGTTGGACACACAACCACTAATTCCTGCCTGCCAAATACATGGGTTGAATTTTCTCATCTCCGTTTTTTGTCACTTTTCCTGCAGTCAGACAAGATAGCGGTTGTGTGCACCTACTCCAGTCCGACTGCAGAGGACGAAGACGTCTGCAGCTATCAGACCCATTTATTTGACAGCACTGTGGCAAGACACCTCCAGCAGTTCTGGAAGATGCTTTTAACCATCTCACGCCCATTATCAAGTAACTGTCACCTGTCTCCGGAGTTCTTACAGTGCTGGTAGTCAGTAGATGGTTTCTGTTCTCAAAACACCTAGGTCCTTCTTCAAACATTTATTGTTAACAGCTTCTTAGCATGCTCTGAACTTTTCTGCAGGCATGGTGTGTCTTTCTCGGCACAGGAAGATGGGGGAGAGATTTATAGTACTGCCTCGTAGGGAAGCAATTCATATAATTGCCCACACCTAGTGGCAGCAAAGACCAGCCGGACACGCAAATGGAAGGTAACATGGGAGGAGATTTCTTGCAGTTGTAAAAGCACCCCCTATAACATGATCTTTGGTGGAGAGCAGTGGTTTCTCTTTCCTGCTGGAGGAACATATGCTGCTGGTTTTTCATTCCATCATAAGATTAGTAGTTCATAAGTGTCCTACATTTTTACATATTTGGATTCAAAACCAGGCCTCCAAACTCCCAAAACACAGACATCAATCTTTCCTTTAATGTTTTTTTTATCCTACTATAATGGCTATTCCATAATACTTTAATAACAAGACGGGTTTCTTCTTACTGAGAAAAGAAGGGATTCTACAAGGCAATGCTGTTTCAGTACAAACGTTAGTGCAGATTTTAGGCCGATACACTTACCCGAACAGAAACATGAACACATTCAGCAAAGCTGCACTTTGGAATTCCCGATAAAATATGACCCCTGGAATGTGACAGAAACAAGAATTGCAGAACTTGACTGGCTTCCAAGTGATATGAATTACAGCTGGGAGGGTCAGGAGCAGTGTCATGCTCAAATGGAGCAAAAAAAATCCCAAATAAGGTATTAATACACATTGTGATGGGTTCACTTTATGTGCCCATATTCCAATATCTAGGTTTTCTCAAGATACTGCATGGGACTGGAGAAGATTTAGTCTATCAGGTTGAAGCATGTACTGTGTTAGTAACTGCACAGATGCAGGTATTTTTTGCATTGTCAGCAGCAGGTTTTATGCAGGTCAAACTCAAGGTCTTATTCACAAGCAGAGTCATGCCAATATAGCTAACAGGTTCTTCATGGATTTAGTTAAGCCACTCCAACAGACCATGTGGACATCTTAACTCCAATTGGGAACAGGTTTCTGATAACTAGCTGTGTCCCTGATGTTTACACCAAGTTAAGGGCTCCAGCAGCCAAGTTTGCCAAATCTTTCTGGCTGAAGGGATCACTAGCTCTTTCTGGTCACCCCTCTTCCAGGAATTAGCACCTCTGCAGTGGAGGTGACAGAACCAGATGTGTATCTGGATCTCAGCTGCCCCAGTTCACAGCCAAGTATATTAGCTTTAAACCACCAATGAGCATAGTTTTGCTTAGAAACGCCAGAGTGTGAACCAGCGCAGCTGAAGTGTGACTGTATCTTCAAAGGCTGTAACTGGGGATGGGGGAATCATGAGATAAGGTACCTTCTATGAGCACCCCAGCAAGATTCAGCAGAGGTTGTTCTTCTAAGCTCTACGCTGGTTTAACTAACCTGGTGCAAATGCATGTGTATCCAGTCTCAAAGCTATTAAGCCATTCCTGAATAGGTACTTGATCTTTTAAGAAGGCACAAGGCCAAATTCCCCATATGGTCACAAGAACACAACCCCTTTTTGGCACAAGTCTCCTCTCAGTCACAAAGTGTAGGTCTCTTCTAACACAGGTGCTGAGGCAATCTGTGCGTGAAGCTAACTCCCCTTCTCATTAATGGCAGCTCTGCATGAGAAACTCCTGCACAGCAATGACAGGAAAGCCCCCAGTGTGTGTTAAAATGAGTCATAAATGTTCTAACAACATGATCATTTTGGCTCATTGCTGATGCAGCATCTTAGTCGTCCTCCCTGCTCATGTTCTTATGCTGTGCTCCATTTCCAAGATTTGCAGTCCCTCTTTAACAAGGCTGAGTTCAAAGTTCTCACCCAGAATAAAATGTTAAATGCTTAAAAAGTCTTTGGAGTCATTTTATTTCCTTCACTTAACATAGAATTCCACCTTCTGAAACAGAATATACACTAACTACTATGAAGCACAGCTGGTTGTCATTTGAGTAGTTTGCCAGGCTGTTAAAATTACTCTACCAGTTCGGATATGGAGAGGCTGGTGTGCACATGGTAAACGCATTTACTAGATGTCAAGATGAGGCTAGGATAAATGCAGGTACTTCTAGTAAGCCAGCAAGGCACAGTAAACTGTACATGTCAATTCTGGAAATGCTAGAATTCGATTATTTTTATTTTGCTTCAAAAGTTGTGAACTTACGCATTTTTCAGGACTTAAACACCTGTCACTTAGGAAAAACTTCTTTTTGTGAAGACAAACATGACTGGTTTGTGTTCCTGTTCACAGGCAGTAATTCTTGAAAACCTGTTGTTTAGAGAATCATTCTGTAGACCCAGAAGGCCAGAAACAAACCTGAAATGATGGCACTGGTGGTGAAGAACACAAAATTAATGGGCACAACTGCTGTCACTTCATACAGATGCGTCGCTTGATTCAAGAACCTGGAAGACAAGCGTTATTGCACCTCAGGCCTACAGGAGGTTCATTGCACTTTAAGTCAGGTTAAACCACTTTATGTCAATTTAACAGTAAGTGTGACCATTTCTTACCACAATAGCAAGTAGCCCTGGACAGATGCATATGTGTGGTGAATTTACCGTCTGCTTTTGACTGCAGAGTACAAACAAATAGGCAAAAGCAAGAAGGTTGGCATGGATTCTTCTGGCCATAGTCTGTCATTGGAGCGTCTTTTGAAGCACCATTGGAAAAATTTTGACTGCCACAGATAAGGGAGGAATGCTAGGGTATTACTGCTTATGGTCTGCATTGGTTCTTGGAAGCAGTGCTGCCTGCGAGCAGCCAGGGACAAGCTGCTCTAATTTAAACAGTTTGTGTAAGGGTATATGCCCAGCACGGACATGAACACGCGAGTTCTCGTAGGAACTGTTTCAATTCACTGAAGCCCACATTGCTGCTACTGCTCAATCCAACTTGGCTAAAACACATATTTGTGTGTTTATGCATGCAATCATACTCTAGACACACTCTGTCCTGCCGGGAAAGTCCAGGAAGGTGGCTCCAAGCTTGTGCTCCTTGGGTTGGAAACTCTCTGCTGTGCTCCTCAGAAAGGCAACACAAACCATCACCAGAATCATGAGCAAGAGTGTGCAGGAGCATACACTGCACACAAACCTGCAGGACTGAGACACTGGCCATGGAGCAGCCTGCACAGTCTGCATCAGTGGATGAAAAAGGCAAAGCAATGAATCCGCTTGTATCACAGCTATCAACATTTACCCACAGGGTGATGAATCATGAGTGTGAGCTCTTGAATGCACCAGCAGATACTCTGTTATGTGAACGGTGCATTTCAGACCAAAAGAGAAAAATCAGGAGGCTGCAGAGTGTATTCAAAACCTATAAAAAGAACCACACTTAAATGTTTCACTGGTACAATATATGTGCACAGTAAAAATCCAAGCTTGGATCTGTTTTAGCCATTAAAGTAATTGCATGGTTATTTTAGCAACTGTTGAACAGTCTCCATGGTGCTTTAAAAATAAAGAAATCCTACATATCCACAGGATAGTCAGGATTTTGAAGTCATTGAAAACACCTCATTATTTTCTCCCATTTGCAACAAACTTGGTCACAGGGACTAAAAGAGTGATACCAAGGCCCAGCATTGAATCCAGGAGGATGTTGCAGCACAAGCTGTTCTGAGCTAACACACGACAGTCAAATAAAATCAGAGAGGAAACAAATAAAATGAAAAATTTAGACTGACAGCACTGTCTCCATTAGAAAATGTGTCCAAGAGAGAAGAAAGAGACACTGAGCCCAGGGAATGAAATGGGCACATTTCACTTCTGTTTTAATTTTGACCCAGCAGAAGAAAGAAAGAAAGAAAAAACTGGCAAGAAGGAGAGGTTAATTCAGCAGCTTCCTATTTACCAAGCTTTTATTTCCTATTTTAAATGCCCTGAGCTGTTCTCCCAGCAAAGACAAGCTGGATGTAAATCACTCTATAATCTGTTACAGGGAAGTTCCTGAGTCAGCCATGGAGAGTCACTGCATAATAATGCATGGACTTTCTGATTCCACATGGGAATGGTATGTTCTGCCACGAGAAAGCTGGGTTGGCTCTTCCACAGGAAAATAATAATGCAAGTAAACACTCAGACTCACACTGGAGCAGTCTAGATGAGATTACTGAATGATGCTATCAGCACCTGAAGCAGAGGGACCAGCATAAAGGGAATGGACTCTGTTCAGCTACAGGTCGTATTTTACCATGCTGCCAGCCCCAGCAATCTGCAAAGGCAGCATAAAACAATCACTTAAGAGGCCAGAGGCCAGCGGGAAAAGCTTGGGTGTCCCCTGCATGCCAAAAGTTAACTATTTCCTAAAAAGGTACAGACATACAGGGTAGCAAAGTGCAACATGCAGATTTACCAGAGACAGGGAGAAAGTTGGGATAAACTCTCTTCTTCAGTCTGACTAGTGGCATAAGCTAGGGAAAAGAGAAGCATAACGAGGGTAAATGTGGCCATTTGATTATTCACCAATGAAGGTTTTAATGAGTTCAAGACCTGTGCCAAAACTAGAGGAAAATTTGGGAAGACCTTGTATAAGGTAATAATGAGAGGAGGTAGCATCTATAATAGTCAATTATAAACTGAGAAATTAAGCCTAAATAAGCAATACAGTCAGCTGTAGGCAATTCATGCATCTGTCAATGCTCTGCTAGGAATTTGTTGCCTTTAAGTGCAACTTGTATCTGGAGTTGATATTAGTACCGAATAAAACTGACAGATAAAATGTGTACAAAGGTTAGGTGATAAGTAGAATCTCACTTACTTGACTTGGAAAGCACAAGAAGTTGCCATTAAAACAATCATGATATAGAAAATGGGATAAGTTAGCTGCATTTTCCCCTTCACAGAGAGTGTTATCATGCTGGCCACAGCCTTTACAGCAATGACAGTCAGTGATGCTGAAAGGGAAAGGGAGAGATTAGCAGGGCAGGATTCACAGCAGTGACCTCAGAGCATCAGTGAGGGAGGACAAGGTGCCAGGTCAAAGCCACAGGTCTGATCGCCTAAAAAGACACTCAGGTAGGATTTGGGCATCTAAAACTAAGTGTGTGATTTTATAAACGCTTGCTAAGCTACTGTCTAAACTCCGAGTGGCCTTAGCTCCATGTGTGCTTTGTGTTTTGCTTTTAAGTTCTTGTAGCACTGAGGTCTGCAACCCTGCATCCACCCAAAGTTTCCCGGTTTTCAATAGAGTAGCTGAAGTTAGAGTCAGATCAAATCTTGCAAGGTAGATGGCGGGGGGGGGGCGGCGGGCCGAGGCCAGGGGGGGGAAAGAACTGGATCCATTTCCCACTGCTGGGCATATGCCCTAAACACTGGACTACTAGTCAGACGTGGTACAACAGCCTCCACATCTTCCAGACAGACTGTATTTAGCTCCAGCTGCTAATTTGGACCCCATGTTGCATTATTCAGGAGAGGTCTGAGAGGTCTCATTATCTGTTCAAAGCAGCTGGGACACCTCCTAATAGCCTGCATGTGAGATGGGCAGCCTAAAATAACTCCTCACCCTCAGGATTTCTGTGCTGAGACAGGAGGTGGCCAAAGCTGGCCAAAGCTGACTTCTGGGATCACCTCCCGAAGCACCTACCTCTCCCCATGGGTTATATATAGGGAGCAGACAACCAACACAGAGGTCTGCATTTTGTTTCAGGGGCCAGGATTTTAAGATCATTTACTGGATTTAGCCCACAGAATAGAATATTTCAGTAGTGTGTTTTCAATCCATTTAGTCACTGTCATTGCATCACCACAAACAAATCTAAGACAGCAGGCAATGGTTTTAATACATGTCGCCAATTCAGAGAAGTCTTGCAATACACATCTTTTAGAAAAGGGGCTGACAGTTCAGCTAAGAGTTACTTTAGATTTCCTTTTGGAGTGTGCTCTTGGTTTGTTGAAGCTAACCCAAGTAGGCTGTGATTACTGCAAATAAAATGTAACAAATTCAAAAGAAACTAAAAAATGATAAGAGTCAGGGTGCAGAGATGACCTTTGAAGAAAGGTAATTAATCGTCAGGAGCACCGTCCCCCAGCTGGGATCCAGTTCCACCCTCTTCCAGAGCTGAGAAGTGTTGGATTTCGGTGGTCTGATTCATCCTCCTATAACTGCAAAATTCAGATTGGCAAGGAGAGCTGCACTGTGCAGAATGTTCAGGCCAAGGGTTGGGAGAAAATGTGGGGGAAGAAGAATGAATTCAGGTCTGTGGTTTTGATTGCAAGCATTTTTCTTATAACAAGTCCAAAAGTTCAGGGGGAGTTTAAGAGTTGCATACATCTTGTGATGACCCCGTTCACCATCATGAAATTCACTGTTTTCATGACAACCTTTTCACCAAGTACTTCACTTTTTGCTCTGTAATGGAAATAGGTGGAGTGGTTTAACAAACACAGCAGTAAAACTGAGCAGAGGAGATCAAATGCTGGCCTGCAGTGGTGCTAATGGTGTCATAAAGAGCCAAAAAATACACTCAAGCCCCAACAAGCAACCTACATAAAAATTGAGATTTGCATTCTTAAAATGGGGGAGTTATTCTTTTAAAAGAACACTTACAGGTAAAATTAGTAGTTTGAATTGTCCAACTAATGGTAAAGATTGCTGAAGAATTTTTTTCCCATGAAAGGGCAGTTTCCATCCCTTGTAATTTTAACAAACCAGAAAAGAAATCATCAGGGTTTGGGTGTTGGTTTTTTTGGTTGGTTGTTTTGTTTGGGTTTTTTGAAAAGTGGAATGATCTTTTTAGTTAAAGCAGCCCTGGAATAAGTTTCAAAACCTAGGAAATGGTTTTACTATCTCTGATAGAATGACACCCCCCAAGGCTAGTGTGACAAATGATGTCACTTTCCAGCTGTTAGGGCAGGAAACTCAGAAATCCCACTTTAATCTGAAATATTTCCCCCAAAACTTATGATAACTCCCAGTATATGCATGAGGTAAGATAATTCTCACCGAATGAATTTGCAGAGTTGTACTAAGCAAAACGTTTGCAGATTTTACGATCACCTCTGTATTTTCTTCATAATGGAAGTACCTCTCATATCCAGTGAAACACAAAGGCTGCCCTCTCTTTAAAGAAACCTTTCTACATTTAATTTACATCTGTACGAACCCTCCACCAGGAATGTATCTGTGCAGATATGAGAAAAGGCAGAAATCCCCTTCCACAAGCTGCCACCAAGACCCCAAGCCTCATCTACCCCTCCCACAGCCAGGGCCCTCTGAGGGCAGTGCACGTGTCAGACAGCTGGGAGCAAAGCTGCTGGGCCCTCTCTCAGCCCCCCCATCACTTTGCTCAGCAGAAAGGTCAGAGACCAAGCAGAAGGCTCAAAGTGTAGCTTTGTGGGGACTGCCAGGCAGCAGGACAGCTGCAGGAACTGGAGCCAGCCACAGTTCTGGGCTTCCTGCTTCAGGGAAATGTCAGTATTTCAAAAGTTCCCATGGACCAGGATTTGTTTGTTTGTCTTTTTTAATAGAGCAGAAATAATGACACATTTTTCCTCAAGCTGCATATGCTCACCAAAACCTCAGCAGCCACCAGCTGCAATTGTATTTTTGGTTGATTGCAGCCTGACCACCAAACTGCAGTTAGTGCCTGTTGGGGCACGAGTTTGCAGCCCTGCTGCTGTTCAGCAGCTCCACGCGTCCTTTTGGCACTGGTGGCATCAGGGCTGGCAGGCTCCACAGCAAAGTAAGCACGCAGGGCTGTGCAGCCCAACGGCCCAGGTCTCCCAGAACCATGTGTTGACCTTGCTTTGGGCAGCCATCACGGTGGGTCTGCCCAGAAGGGCAGCAGACAATTGCAGAAGCCCATCTGGGGATCTTCAGGTCTCCAGCTATGCAACAAGGAGGCTGGACCCGCTCATCGCTCAGGAGCGCGCAGTGCTTCTCGCTCCTCATGGCAGGGTTGGAAGCTGCAGAGCAGCTCAGGAAAGCTCTGCCAAAGCTCCTAGGCTCTGTGCTAGGAGCTGGGGGATGGCTGGACTCACACTTCACTCCTCCAAACCAAGAGCAGGTGAACAGTTAGACCTAAGGCTTTTGGGGCTTTTCCATCTCTGCCTCATGCAGGGAGCATGGAAATCCTTCAAGGCTTCTGCAGAGCTACAGAACCTAATGTTCCTAGTGCTGGGAAACTTAAATGGGAAGACTGTCCCCAAAAGCACCATTCACTTTATCCAAAGAAATGTGGTGTCCCATCAGGGTTTCATGGAGAAGTGACAAGACAAGGACAGGAGAAGACACAGGGTGGTGACAAATTCTGAACATACTCCTGCAAGTGTTGAAGCTTTAGAGATAGCCTCCTGACATTTTTCAAAACTGATTCAAGTTTAACTTTCTTGAAAGCTGCCTGATCAAATGATGTCCCTTGTTTCCCTGGGCATTGATTGTGGCAACGTTAATCAGAAGGCAAACTTCAGTGACTCACTGAGTTTTTGTTATGCTTCTGGAAAGGTGGTAAAGTATGAAATGTTGCATATGCAAACAGGCATAGATAATTCAAAGTAAGAGTTCCCATACAGTCACGGCATATCTCCACATTTGTTTACAGAGTGCTTACAAGGTCTTAAGCTGCTCTGTTCTAAAGAACTGATTTTCACAGCTAGCCTGCTCTCCAAAACAACGTTTCAAACAGTCCGCTTTCCCAGGATCTAAAGCTAAAGTGTTATTTAAAAAAGGCTTCAGAATACCATTACACAGAGCATATTAATTTCAGGGAATCTGTAAAAAGAAATAGTCCCAGCAATAAGCATAGAACCTATGTTTCATAATCAGTTTTTCTCTTCAAAAAGAGACCACAGTAAGAATCATGTGAAATGTTTCAATGATTCTCCTCTCACTGCTTTGAAATGGCTCTAATCTAAACTAGCTGGGGAGACTGAGTGACAAGAAATTATCAAGTAACGGACAGGAACATTAAAGTGAATAATCTGTTCTTACCCAGTAGTGCTACCATCATTAACAGAACCACGATGTGTTTCACAGCCTTTCTTTTGTAAAAATAGAGGAGAATGCAGAATATTATAATTTCTAAAATCTGAAAATAAAAGGGAAGAAAGTTAGAGCTGTGAAAGTATATAATGAATGCTTCATTCAGTCTTTGAGATGTCACATTCATTTTCTCTGCTTTAACAGTTCAAAGGAGAATTACTTTATTAAGCATCTTCTGCTAAAAACTAACCTTATTGCCAGTTGACTAAGCTATCAAACAATTGTTGCCATTTATCTTTTCTATTATAGCAAAAGTTAAACTGAGAATTTCTGATTTCCTTAGGTTTTATTTTTGCACTTCTAGCTATATTTTGTCACTGGTTGCATTGAGAAGACTTTTTTAATGTAACAGCAAAGATACCCATATTTATTGGTAATAATTCTTACAGAAACTCTGTTTGTAATTCCTATGGAGTAAAGCACTTACCTGGAGGAACAGCAGTCTCTCCTTCTAGCTATGGTATTCCTAGTGTTACTCTTTGTGACATGCAAGCTTATTTTTGCTACACTCTTCGCCCTTCTGCCCAGTCCTACTAACACCCACTCCCCCCAAAACACTGTCTTTTTGTTCAAACTTTCTGCCATACATCATAAGGAGGAAAACATTTATTTCATGTGGTGGTACTCAAACCACAGGTACCTGTCAGGAGCTTACCTTGAAAAGCTAAACGACACACTAACAGGTCACAATGCAGGACATCTGCAGCTGCTGAAGCAGCTTTACCCACACTGTTCATGGTCCAAACTTGCTCCTTCAATAACATCTGACAGCTAAATGACAGACAGCTAAATTTACTGACTTGCTGTTAATTTTTGCAGATTCCCTTAGTAACTCTTACCTTTTGCCATCTCAAAAGCATGGGTATTCTCCCTCCTACCCATGTTGCCCAAATACCCCTCTATGCCTAAAGAAAACAGCAAGTGCAAGAGCCAAAAATCTTCTGTGAAGCCCAGAAAACTGACAGAAACAGGGATGATGGACCTCTGCACTGAGAGGTGCTCAGAAGCCTGGTAGCCTTAGAGACAGCCTGAAGAAAGAGAAGTTCATTTGTGCAGGTTGGAAAGTAATCAAATGGGGGGAATAAGACAGAAAATGAGATTGTCATCATTACTGAATCTGGTTATTGTAATTTTTTGCCAACAAAACAAGGCATAGAAAAACCTCATGTCTATCTCCTTGGTTTTGTCACCAACATACTATTTTACGTTTTATAATGCCACTCCACTCTTCAACCAACAGTTGCCATAAGGCAGCACTAGACTCAAAAATACCTGGGTGCTCTGCTGATGAAATTTCCAAAGAAGCGACTAAACAGTTACTAGTGGCAGTTATATAATGTAACATAGCCAATTTCTCATTTTGGAGAGTGACTGCAGCAGGAAAGCAGTCATCAGCTACATTCAGTTACTAAAATTCTCTACCACACTCACACCTCCCCCAGTTTAGTAGTGTTCAAAAATATGAACAGAACATAATTATGCTTTAATTCATTTTTTATTTACCTTCACGCTGATCCCTTGCTCCCAAAGACAACTGAGACACAATTGCATTTCAGAACATTAAAACCACAAATTTGGATTTTATACCACCTTTCTTTAAAAAATGTTAAATATTTATCACAAGGTTAAAAAAAAAAAGCAAAGGTGTTGGGTGGGGTTTTTTTGGTAAAATGTGTTGAATATAATAAAGCATTTTAATAATCTTTGCAATCTTTTGTGAAGTGCTGGTCTCATCTCCCTCCAGTGTGACATCCCTCCGCACCAGGCTTGCACCCAGAGATGAAAGCTGGGCCACCAGCTGATAGAAAAGAGGCTTTTGCCTCAGCCTCACAATAAGTAACTTGGCCAGCCTCCCCAGCTTCATTCAACAGTGTAACATTGGGTATGTCTAAATCAGGAACCAAGGCAGAAGTCATGTTATGATCTGCAGACATGTGAGTTCATCTTGGCCTCCCTGTGTAAAACTATGACAAGTTTTTGAGGGAACTCAAGAGGAGAAGTAAAGGTAGCAGCTTTGCTCTTCATGCCACTAGCAAACACATCTTAGGGCCAGAGGGGAATATTGCATTATCAGGCTGCAGCTACAGCAGCCTCCAAATAGTTTCAGTTGCTATTTTGACAGTGAACAATTGCTAAGAGAATAGAAGAAACCTGTGCTACATAAATATTCCCCACACGGAAATGTACCCAGGCTAAGAAAGAAGTTCCAGGGATGTCCAAGGTATCCTCTTCCATGATGCGCCAGTTCAGGATTGGCACACAGGACGGTGTGACTGGGATGGGACTGTGGCACCAGGTGACACAACACTATGAGATCTGCTTCCCCCCCCCAGTGCAAACCTGAGCACCCATCACCTCTCCCAGACCCTTGGACTGGTTGCCACAGAGTGTGCAAAAACCTGTGAGACAGCCCTACTGTAGGCAGCCAGCTACTCCTCAGATACTAATTCATCTTATATCCCCTAGACAACTTTAATCACAATGCCAATAGAGGGAAGCACCATCATCTGCCCTGTCACTTAGATTTCAAACTACGCAAGAACAATCACTCAAAACCAAGCCCAGGGACAGTTGCTGGCTCAAACCACTTTGTCACACCAGCTCTGGCGTTCCACTCCTCTTCCACCTCACTCCAACCCCCAGAGTGGCAGGTAGTGCCGAGAACCACTGACCTCCACTGAACCAGGTCATCGTTGCTGGCTCTGTCCATCAGCCCTCTATCAGTCCTCACCTGTCATCAGCTCTTCTCTTGCTAAAGCTACCATAAGCTCCACTGTGATCTCCTCCTGTTTAAAAGCAAACAAACCCACCAAGAAGACTTACTTCTGAAAGGAAACAGCCAAACAAAACCATCAAAAGGACATAAAAGAATTCCTGATGGCAGCTCTGGAAGGGGTGCACAGGTCTGTGTGCTTGGCTGCTTTCACCTCCTGGGGAAGCCCCAAGAGCAGCAGTGGTGTAGGGCCAGAGATGACAGTCCTGTAGCCAAACCTGGGGAGAAAGCTGGTATTTGCTTTTCAGGGCTGTTATTTAAGTTTACTCAGCTCTGTCAAGTCACACACTAAGCATGAAATTCAAGCAATTAGTTCTCACCTTGTGCTGCCCAGCAGCCAAACTATTCTTCCGTGGTTCTCTGCCGCTCGGTGACCCACCAACAGGCCACCTTTAATTGTAAGACAAGGGATAGGCCATCAAATTGATTCATGCTACAAGCAGAGTGCGTGGCACCTAACAGGACCTCACACAGACAGGGACCCTCGTGGGGTGCCCCAGCTGTTGCCTACGATTGCCTCCTAAGAATTACCCAAAATAGTGCTCAATCTCATAGCTGATAACTGTGATAGTGTTAAATACAAAGTCCAGGAATGAGAAGTGTGTAGATTATATCAGCTTCAAATATTCTGTTTAGAGGAATTGACGGAACTTGACCTGCTTACAATCATTTTTGCTATTATAACTAATCTCTGCTGAAGTCTCCTGAAGACTGCATCTCACCAACATTTTTTTTATAATCATGATGTTTTCCATGTTTCTAAGCGTTACCAGAAGGCACCAGAACAAAATTGTCTGCCTCAACTGTTTTTCTGGGATATACAGCAACATAGGCACCAATGAACTGGGAGGGACTTCTAGGCACTTTGACAGAAAAGCAGAAATGCTTTGAACCTGATTTTACAGAGATTAAATATTAATAACTGAATACTCACTATGCTTCTGTTTAGAGAAACCTAAGAGCTTCATCTATAATTGATGTCTTCTGTAGTGACTTAAAGTGCACATAAGGAAAAGAGAAAAAAACCAAGCTAGGATAGTCATTCTTGCTCAGACATGATTATGCTACTGCAAAGTCTCAGAAGGTGACTCAAAGTTGTCTCATGTGGGAACTAGAGGCTATTTCTGCAGAACTCCTCCGATGCCAGTGGAGTGCCACATGGGGATGGTTTGTCACCCACACAGAACATTTTGTACCATTGGGGCTTTGTATTTCTCAGCAGACCACACTTTGGGGCTACTTTTAGAAAGACTGTCGGACTGCATTATACTGCTGTACTGTCTCCTCTCTATATATTTATACTGGAAACTCTGCAACTTCTGCTGCGTTTTTCTCTATCTCAGCAGCCAACCTGTACTAGGGATTTTAGAAACAATTATGAAGAGCTAGTTCCCTACCCAAAGAGAATGTTTACAGCAGGGTTTGCTTGAACTTCCAGCAGCATACCAGGATAATCAGGCTGGTACCTCAGAGTCTTTTGTGAAGCCTTTCACTCCTCCCTCTTCTTTAGACAGAGGAAGCTCAAAACAGATGAATCCAGGGAGCACAAGGAACAAATAAAGCTTGATATTTTTTTGAGTCAACAAGATTTGCTGTGTACTTGCTCCATCCTTCCCTGCAACCCGTGCTGTACATGCAGAATTGGATGTTGGCTGAGGCAGGGAAAAGAGAAGAGGGGAAAGAATGTCCGGAAGTTAACCTACCACCTCCTTATAATGTATCCTAAGAAGAATACAGCACAGTGTTCCTAGGCATTCAACTGTGTTCTTATTAACTTTTCCTGAAATAAAGTAAAAAAAGTCCTCAGATGGGCAAAAGCCCTTTTCCAACAACCTGTTGATTTTAAGAAAATGCGAACAGCATATGGCACAGAAATTTCTGGTGTCACTGGGAGTGGATGGGGAGTTTTCTCCCTCCACCACCTCTACACAAATGAGTGACTCAGCAATTTAAAATCAGTGCTTAAAATGCCAGGCTGTTTTAGTATCTATAGGTGGAACTGCATGGTAGAAGGAGATATTCAGCAGGAAAGAGAGAGGGTCCTCCAGTGAACACCGAGCCCCCTGTTCTGAACCCCCTCCTAAAGAAGTCCCTCTCCCTCTGTTGAATAGATGGATTTGCTGAAGCTCTTGGTGAGGCTGAAGCTACCTTTACTGAGTATTCAAAAACTCTTGGGCATCGCCTTCAAAAGCCTCTCTACCCCCTCAGTGAAAGTGCATGTTGTGATCTATGCAGCGTGATCATTAATTTCTTCCATTGAGCTGTATTAACATCTTTCAGGAGCTTTTAAAATGCACAAAAAATTGAGCAAGAGGATCAACATTTTTTGTGGTAGCGTGTATTTTCTGTTTAATCAGCATTTTCATGGATAGTTAGATGTATGTAAAGTCTGCAGGTTGGCTAAAAGATTAAGGTCCTTAAAATGTCTACTCAGTGCCATTCTAACTGAGCTTCCTACTGAAAAAAGCCTGGGCACTAATAGTCTAACCCAAGTGAGTCATTTTACTAGGAAAAAAGTAACTGTTTGTGAAGCTCCTATATTGCATCTTTTACATTCAGCTGGAGGAACACATTTTCAGCGTTCCAGAGGAAAAGAGAGAGAAAAATTCCTCCTACTCACTCTAGTTTTGTTCCTGATGCTAGTTAAACACATCAAAGAAGATGTATGGTATTTGAAGTTTGTATACAGATACTTTAATCAAAATGGTATTTTTGTATTTGAATTCAAACTCAGGTTCAGATTAACCTGAGTGGCAGTAATGCAGGCCACCTCTCTACATCTCAACTCCATACAAAGCTCCTTTTGGCCAAGCTTAACAACATGAGGATAAACCAGAGTGATATGAAGGAAAAAAGCAGGACCAAGAGCATACATAGCTTGATTTTTAAAAGCACAAGTCCATTGCATTCCAGAAAAGCATTGTAACTTAGATGCACATGCAGACAGTGTGGCATGAACACATACATAGGAAATATAAGCAGTGCCAACACTTAGATTTTTCCTCAAGCCCACCAAAACCCCAAATCTTTCCATTCTTGTTAATCCTGCACAACTGTGACTTTCCCCTGGTATATAGTTCGAAAGACATCTTTTGGTTCACCATATTTTCAGCTTGGAGACTGGGTGATGACCCAGAGACTTGCTCTCTCTCCTTTGAAAATCACATAATTTACCTTCAGGAGCAGTTTTTCTGCCACTAATTCAGAATGATGCAAAAAGCCCAATAACCCCAGTTTTTCTGATTTAGGCAGTAGGATGAACCAGGTACTCACCAAATATACCAAAAAAGGCCAGCTCACTAAGTAATTCTGTACTCGTCTTGCTGTGAGCTCTTGGGGTACACTTGGAGCAAATGTCACCAACAAGTATGTCCCAGTTACTGTCAGTGTTCCTCCTTTAAAGAAAAGGACACATTATTTTTGTAATACAATACTTGGTAATCATGGTCATCCTTGCTCTCCAGCTGATTTGGAAATAGTTTCTAGAAGAAAATTTAAGTCCATTTAATCAGATCTGGGCTTAGGTAATTGGGTTGCCTTGCATTTGTGGTCTTATCTAGTGCAATTCTTATTAAAGACTCAAAGGATTTTAGAAATATGAAAAAAGCTGTCAGTAAAGCCTCATGAATTAGGTTTCTAACTCAGCAATGCATTTTCAAATATTCTCTATTCTAATACCAAGTGCATGACAAAGGAGAATCAATCCTTTGTATTTCTCACAGGCACAAAGGAGATCACATAAACTTATCCTAAACTAAAAGGACAAGCTGCTTACTGAGGCAGACAGCTAGACCATCAACCAGTGTAAATAAACATAACTCTCCCAAAGTCAGTGTGGCCACAGAGATCTGCAACCGCTATGGACCTGCCCTGGAAACATTAGGCACAAGACACATGTTCCAGTCCAATGCTTACGTGAAGCTGTCACGAAGCCAACATTTTGGCCGCACCCCGTTGTATGTGCAGACCTATGAACTGTTTTATAAAAGGTTGATTTGCAAAGACTGTTCAGCCATTAGATTGCCAGGGCCCCTTTTCAAGGTCAAACTTGCATTATTGTGCTTTTAATAAAAATCTGGAAGTTCTGCCTTGTGGACAGCCAGCTGACAAACACAGATGTTCATTGAGGTATCAAGACAGACGTGAGCCGATCCTGAGCTCATAAACTGTATTGGATTAAGGAAGATATTAGCTAATCAATTTTTTTTCAAGTAATCTTTAAAATTCTTGGCAAACCTATAAATTGGTGTGGAATACAAGGCTCAGGAATACAAAACAAGGCACATCCGGAGGGCTTTGCTGGCACTGATATCACACACAGTTCCTTTGGAAAAGCAGAACTGTTCTATATTTATGTGCTTGCAAAAACATCACCATATTTCCCATCATACAGCTCATTCCTATGGAATGTAGCAACATTGTTAAATCCTTCTTGCAAAGTTGAACTCACAGAAATAAAATAAATCAGTGCTGAACACTAGTTAAAGCAACACACAATGTATAAGGCCATAAGGGAGACATGATCAGTCAATGGAGGGGGGATTCTGAATGTAGCAGCTGAGCTGGTAAACTTGGATCCCAAACCTAAATAAAAATTATATAGTATTTCTGGAACAATAATGAACAGATCTCTCCAGAACATTCATGAGAACAGCTGGGATGTCCTCCTTGCAGTATGGACAATCAAGCCTAGATGCTAGGAATGCCACAGAAATATCAGGTGCCCTGCAGCAACATCAGGCGCAGTCTCCCAGCTGAGGTGGCTTGGTGTAAAGCCCAAAGTCTGAAATATATTTGCCTCTCACTATTACTGTGTTCAAGCTAGGCAGTTTTGATATGCAAAAAAATCTTGGACACAGACAAAAAGTTGACATGCTTTTACAGTGAAGACCATGTTTCCCAACAAAACACTTGACAACATGATTATTTGTTCTTTGAAGTGTTAAAATTAATACCAAAAGGGAAGTTGTCACTTTAAATTGATCTGGAATTTTTGTGCAACGTCTATGCAGTAAGAAAAAAAAATCTTATATTTGAATGAATAACTCAATAATTTCATTGTTTTTATTAAAATTGTGTTGTACTCATAAAGATTATACTAAATACAACCTCAGAGGCAAAAATAGACAATGAAAATAAATTTGAGCAATAAGGACACATAAGGAATGAGTTATGGTTATAAGAGCAGAGGATTTGGGAATGCAGTCTTTTCCACATGCATTGAAGATTCGCTCTCTTTTTGTCACTTCTTCCCAATTTTGAAAGTATCTGCCTCGAAATACTTGCTTGGGAAAGTGGGAGTGTGAAGGTGGGGGGCTATGTGAGAGTTACAGCTTGCTAAGCATATGGCGACACACATGTCCATATTAGCAAATGCTTACTTACCCAATATATCAGCAGCCCTCATGGTCTTCTTTAGGAATAAGACAGAAATAAATGCACTACCTAGAACAGAAATATAAAGACATTTTTTATATTTGTTAGAATATCAAGTGCTATAGCAAAAAGCTGCCCTGGGCCAAGTTTAAATTTATCTCATGGCTGTTGCTGTTGCACCATACCATGATATAACCAGCCAGGAGTCCATTCCAGCAACCAACCAACACTCAGTTTTTACAAGATTTTAAATGTACCCAGCAGGCTCTTACGTGGTTGAAGAGATGTGATGATACCCTTCCCGTCTCCCACACAGACACTGCTTAAACTGCTCTGATTCAGTCATATGTGGAAGTGTCAGGAAAGCTGGGCACCGATCAGCCTTAACGTTTCACTCCCCATTTTGCTGCCAACTCGTTATATGGACTTGCTCAAGGCAAATTGCCTCATAGAGGGATAAAATTCTGCTTCTTTAGACTTCAGTGTATTAGAGGCTTATAAGTAGCAGCAGTACAATCAAGAGGAAGAAAGCCACTGCAAAAGCATAATACTTAGTATGAACTAAGAGCGTGGTCATGATGTCTGCAAACAAGCACGTGGAAGAACCAACATATGTACCATACAGGAGCACTGCCCATGGTCTGCTAGAGTGACTTGTAATGAATGAGGAAGGAGAAAAATGGAAGCAAGCCCTGGAAATGACCTCCTGTTCCCAGGGCAAGTCTTTCCCTTGTTCAGCTCTTGCATCTCCCCCTCTGCCAGCTCCTAGCCCTGCCTCTTCGGCATGGGCAGCAGTGGGTGGGTGAACAGCAGTAGTGGTCAGGCCAGCACTTCTGGTAAGCAGCTCAGTGTGGACATGTGCTAGAGAGGGAAGCAGGGGTTTGGCCTTAAGATGGATGAGACTGTTGGCCACCTGGGAGAGATGGCTCTATTCCAGCACATAACATTAGAACATCTAACTCTAAGGGGAAGCAAAAGAGGCTGAATAGCTCCTATGTAAAAGAGATGAGGAAAGGCCTATGGGAGAGGTGCATTGGTAATGTTAGATTCATTTAGAAACCTCAAAGAAAGACTCTGCCTGGGAGGGACAGTGAAGGGACACATTGAACCTAAATCATGGGGTGCTGTTCAATAGTGCAAGAGCTCTATTCCTGCCTACAGCATGAAATTCTTGGTTTATTCTTGAAATAACAGATCAACCTTTTCACAACCATCTTTGCCTCATTATCTCTATTGTTCTGATGGAAAATTTAATTTGTGGTTAGCTAGCAGATGTACTCTAGATAAATGTAGAGAGGTTCCTACCAAGAGGTAAACAGAGAACTGAAATTCAGCATCATGTCTTTGTCATCCAGTCAGTAAAAAATCAGCTATAGCAGAAGTCATAAATTTAAACTGTATCAAGAGTGATGGAGATATATGCAAACGAATAAGTGCAATAAAAGAATCTTCAACTGAAAATGCCTCACTGAAAGTAAGCTGCCTGACATGGTTGTCTTTAATCAATGTTTCAGTGACAACTTTGCTGGAGAAAAGACACTGGTATCCAGGCAACACTGATAATAGCAGAGCTACCTAGCTTTAGAAAAGAAAGAGGACATAAACCAGGAAAGAAGCAGCATCAACCCAAGGTAGTGCAGGAATTAATTACTGCTCTGTCTCCCTGCTGCCATAGCTCTCCCAAACCCCACCTCAGCCCACCTAGGTAGCCACTGTCACAGCAAAGACCTGTTGCTTAATGAACTGATGCCTCAGTGATGATTTGGGGTTTTCTTTGAGTACCCTGTTGTCTGGGCTCTCTGCATTCAGCAGAGATCTAGTAAATGCAATCTCCGGTTCAATTCCAGTGTTGGCATCCAATTTGGGGTGAGATGAGTTATCCCTAAAATTCCACTGCCTACTTCTTTGGAGATGACAAATGGCAGCTTGGGGGGATTACAACCTCTGAGGCTGGCAGTGGGCACAGAGAGGCACTGGAACGCAGCCAGATAATGAAACTTGTCACTCAACCTGTCATCCACTTTAATAATGCATTCAAATGCAGCAAGCTCTGTCTCCAGAGATAGCTGGTAATGCACAAGAGATCATGAGCTTAACAGAATGTATGTATAATTAATGCTCTTCATGATGTGTAATATGTAGAGGAATCTAAAAATAGGAGAGGTTTTAAGAACATATATTAGGCCATCTGGGACTGGAGGAAAAACTGAAGTAGGAGGGGAGGTGCAACACCAAGGTGAGAAGAGTGAGACCCAGGAGAGACTGAACACAAAAGACAACTGTCCCTGTGGATAAGCCACCAACACTTCATATGCATTCAAGTGAAGAAGAAAAGCAAATGGGGTAAATCTAAGTGAAGAAGCACAGAACAGTTACACAGACCTGATGAGATGCTAGAGAACATACATGACTGATCAGAAGCCTGGCAAACTCTGGTTATTACCTTCAGGGCTGAATTTGAAGCAATTTATGGTAGCACAGCCAAGAGACCACCTTGTTATTACACACTGGCTAACACAGTATTTAATTTTATTTTTATTTTGTTAATTTTCTGGGATTTAAGCTCCATAAGTTTGACTTTTAAATAGTCTTTTATGTTCTTCAATTTGCAGGGTGGGTTTCAACCAGGTTAAATCAAAGAAACCAAGGGCAGATTGTCTTGACACAGACAGTGGCTCACTAGAAATGATGGGCCACAGAAAGAGATGTATGAAGGGAGCCTGTAAGCCCCAGGAGTGCAGGCTGGCATTTGCTCGTTTTGCCTTCTGCTGGCTTTGCAGCTTTCCCTGGGCAGCAAGACAAACGGCAGGCACCAAAGTGTACTCCAGGAGCCCAGTGAGAAATGTACAGCCCTCACAGCTGCTCTGCCTCTCTTCTTTAACTCCTTTGGGCTCCAGCTTACAGTCTCAGGTGCATTTAGCTGCTTAAGACATTAACTCCTCCAGAAAAGGCAGTTTAAGACAATATGCTAGGTGGCCAACACATTCCCCCCACCAGCTCCTCTCTGCCTGGTGGCCTCTGAGCTGACCCTGCAGTGAGCAGGAGGTTGGGTTAGGGACTTCCTGAGGTCCCTTCCAACCTGAGTTATCCTAGGACCCTGTGTACCCTTGGCAGAAGAGTAAGTGGGCATCCAGAGGCCAAGCTAAGCCTACCAGATATAGGAGTTAGAGCCCTTACTGCATCCCAAATTCAGCTCCTAAATGCAGCCCTGCTGAAACCCTTGGGCTCAGCTCTCCAGACTCTCCACTCCTTTCCCACTATCCCTCAGACCACAGGCAAGGTGCTTCCCATCTCCCCACTTCTCCTCCTCATTACCAGTGATGTTACACCCTCGCACTTTCCTCCTAGCCCACTTTCCCATCACCGTGATTTTGCCCCATCACTGCAGTGTGAGTCTAACTTCCTACCACCCAGCCCCAATTTTCTCTTTCCCAAGCCAGGGTCCTCTTGCTCACCCTCTGTCACAAAAGCTGTGTACCTCTTCCTCCTACACCATTATACTGATGTGGGAAATAAATCACTGACCATTATGTTCAACTCCACGAATGAATATATGGAGGAACCTGGGCAACTGCTGTGCAGAAAAGTATTAATGTGTCTTTGCAACTGTTCATTTGTTTGCTTGTTGGTTTTTTTTTGGTTTTTTTTTAAAGCTATAGACAGTTATAGAGATTGAGATCTGTGTTAGTAGTCTCTTTTTTTTAATTGGTGAGCAAGAGAATGCAACAATACAGAAATACAGACAAAAAATCGTGTCGAAGTGTAAGCTGGCAACAAAACAAGCAATTTATCATTGTTCAGAAGCCTCATTGGTTTTGAACCACTGGTTTTAGCAATACAGCACATAACTAACTCTAAGCTCGAATTGTCAGCCTGTAAGTCATTGAAGCAAAGACTGCATCCCTGGTTGTCTGAGAAGACTTGTACACTTTTGGGTGAATCAGAACATTTTTAGCTTTTTAACTAATTATTAAGGTAACATTTTCAAAACTAGGTACAGATCTTACTCCCAGTAAGAGTGGTGGCAGATAGCCTGCTAGATCAAGAGAAAGGCAGAAAATCTGGGAGATGATCTGTTAAAGATTAAACCCTACAGAACCAACACATCCTAATGAAATCCTCTAGTTCATTTCATGCCTTGATTGTGTCATGCTTATATTAATATCCACAAACTGAGAAGTAAATAGGTCCTGTAAAATATCTGTATCTATATGACAGAGCCTTTCTGAAGGCTCATGAAACTCTTCAATCTGGAAATGCAGCGTTAGTATTTCAAATTAAAAATATTATGACTTGGCACTACATCAAAATCATGATAAATAAAAGCTATTGCATAAGAAAATAGGACAAAAAGAGTTTGTTCAGGAGCTTAATTGTTAGGTTGAAACAACTTCTTCTCATACATCAGCAGAAAACAGGCTGTTTTGTATTCATTATTGAATGAATATATATTCACTATATATTGAATGAATATATATTCACATTATTAAATGAATACATATTTACTGCAGCATGTGAATTTCAATTTAAATTGAAAAAAAATGGTAGAAAATGTCCATTTTCTGCATGATATGCAATTAAGTGCCTTAAGGGAGGGCTGTAATGGTCCTACACATAGCTTAGTCATCTGCTTATTCTCTTAGGAGAGTGATCGTTTATGATTATCTCCATATGTAGGTTTTCTCCAGCACAAATAGAAATAAAGAGTAGTGTGATATGTGGGTTCTGCCACTAGCAGACACTGAATGGTGAGAACCCAGCTCACAAAACAACTCCTCTGCCTCCTAGACATGAAAGCTGCAGTTAGGATTGTTTCTTGTTTGTCTCTTTAAGAAAGGGATAATACACAGTCAGAGAAGTTAAAGATAGAAAATACATACTGATCCATAGAGTGCATTTCTGTATTTTGTCCAAGCCAGCCTTAAAAAAATCTAATGAAAGAGTGTCCATCACTTATTTTTCCTACCCAAAACTATTTCACAAATAAGTATATTTCATTATTAAGTTGTTTTCCTGGTATTGAGTCTATTTATAAATCTCATCTTTTTACCTCTATTTTTATTGTCAGG